ATCAGCCTCCACTGTGTCCTGTGCGTCCAACACCCTCAGCTGGTACAGCGGGCGGCCGCTGCGGGGGTTCAGCAGGTTCACTCCACGCTCAGCGTCGCCAACATCGACAGAAATTTCTGCACAAAATAAAAGTGTTAACACGTTTAGAAATATGCATTAGTTTAAATGCACCCAATGGTAGTTTGTAGAGCTTTCAAAACCACACTACTGTTCCAATGTATATTAACCCTCATGGGGCAAAAATTCTGATGGAAAATGGTTACTGGAAGGGCCCTGGGCTGATTTTTAGGGTACCACCCAGAAAATAAAGAACTCATCTTGGGGCCCGGGCTTGGCTTCTGCAGTTTTAAATGCCCAAATTATGAAATGCTGACTCAAATGAGTTAATATGAAGCAGTATGTGTCAATTTGACAAAGATTGCTTTATTCAGTTTCAATAGGTTTATTGGTTTGAATCACTAAACCCATATTTCTGCTGACCACATTTAGGTCACTATTTCAACAGGTGTGTTGGCAGGTATGGTCACAGGTGATAACAAAACTTGCTCAGGTAGGTTCGCGATAACAACCGGCTTTACACAAGTAGGGCCGACGTGTACAGAAAAAGGACCTTTGGGCCTTTTGAGGTACCATAAGACAATAGCGGTATCAGCCGCAAAGAGGTGACGACAAACATATTGACGAACATATTCTTTTCATAGGGAGGACACAATTTCCGGACAAACATTTGCATAATAACATTAATCCCATCAAAAGATATCTGTGAACAATTCTGTGTCTGCACAAACGTGTTAGGATAACTAATGATTGAATAGACCAGGAGTATAGACCAAAGTTAAGTTTGAAACACTCTTAAGTCTTAACCACTCATAGAAAGGAGGGACATTTCCTGTTCGTGAGTCACCGCTAAATAAATGCTACAGCCGGCCTTTAATGAAAGCCGTATGGAAAACAACAGCGGCGAAAGTGCTGAGCTGGCTCCCTACGCATTTGGCCCGTCACGTTGTTTTCCAGTGGAAACGCCGTTGTTATTGGTGGCCCGTGAAAACTCGTTACGGTGGCAGCACTTGCTTTATTCAAAGGATATATGAGCTTACCATCGAAAACCCCAGGGTATTGGGGGGAATGTGCTGAGCTAGCTCATCTGGTGCTTCGTCCGTAAAAATGTTTTGTGCGAAAGTGCCTTAGCTTTGGCAGCGTGACAAAGGGATGACGGCAGGATGCACAAAAACATGTCATTAAGGCTGACTGTTGCTGCCAAGATACTGAGTGTTTAGCCTTGGATTATTGGAAGAAGAACTAATCTCTGTTCATCACGTATTGACTGAATGATTACAGAGTAAAATTGAAATCTTCAAAAAAGAAAATGGATGTTAGAGACGGTCATAGCTAGCTGGGCCGTCAGTCAATATCTGCTTGCAAACTGGACCCGAACCCTTGACCTCTTGGCTCGGCTCGCTACTGTGTGGCCTCGCGCGGTGTTACGCCGTATTCGAACATATTGTGTGAAATGAACAGATCTAACCGCATGCTGCTGGAAAAACCCACCTGTAAAAAAAGCCTCAAAAAACGTGTTTAAACACGAATTTCAACCCAACGTGCGAAAAAAAAAAAACGCCGATAAAAAGTCCTAAAACCCCGCGAAAAATAACCCCAAACCCAAACTTCTGTTTGGAGATTAACAAAACATCACTGTCACGGGTTGGCACGCGCTGGTACCGGTCGATGACCTAACGGTCCCAAATAGCTAGCGCTGTTACACGGACCTGACCTCATATAAACCTTTGAGGCTAGTAGCCTCTACCAGGCTTCGGGAGGTGGCCGGAAAGAGTAGAAATCGGCAAAATAGACAGAAAACATGCCGGGGGAATTGCGGTAAACTGTACTCTCTAGCGGACCAACTCTCCTGGTATGTTATGTCTTAATTTTGCCGATTTCTACTCTTTCCAGAAGCCTTCCGATGCCTGGTAGAGTCTAATCTTAAACCTTGTAAGAGCTGGTCATACCATATCTGTTGCCATGACAACGGACAGCTTACGTGCCCTGCCTCTGGTGCGACTGTTTGCCCAGCTGAAAGGTTGTACCAGTCTCTACCTTGTACGTACAGTGTCGTCACCGACAGTGCAAGGTACCAAACGTTTGTGTACAATCTCTTAACTCTTGGCAGGATTGTGACTGAAGATAAAAATCTCACCAGTCATCTTTCTCACCCCCCTTGATATGTTGTACCAGTCTCTACCTTGTATATACAATGTCATTAACAGCAGTGCAAGGTACAAAACGTTTGTGCACATTCATGTAGAAATGCATTGTCATCCTGAGTCATAACCGTTTGTGTACTTATAAAAACGCATTATCATCATAATGATATGGGTAAAGATTTCCTGTTTTCTTGTTCATTTCGTCACCTTTTAACTGGTTAGCAATAGTGTATGCTGCTCTCAATGTATGGATTTAACAACCAGTTAAAGTATTGAATGAAATAACAACATAAGAGGAAAAGTATTATTTTTGTAGTTATTCAGTTATTTCGTAGTTATCCACATCCAGGAATGGATCGCATATGCAGTAAAGTACTCCAGATTTTTTAAATTTTTTAATAAAATGTTCGGCACGGTTGAAACGCCAATGAAGGGTACGCTTGATTTTTCTTTCTCTTTATTTTCTGATTGAGCCAATCTTTCAACCCTTCGGCAAAAGATTTCACCACTGCCATCTTTCTCACCCTCCCTGTCTTTTATAATTACACAATGTAACCCTGTCAGCGCCTTCCAATCTCTATGATCTCTCGAGGGTTAAAGGTTTCCAGTCGAGTGTGCCAACAGATTTAAAACTTCCCGCTGAGACCGTTCTTACGCAACTTGTTTTTCTCGCTTTTCATGTCCTCCAGGTCACGTTTTCTTGCGTAAGTGCTGACTAGAGGAAAGAGCTCTCGCTTAATTGATTCCTGTCTCGATGCTTTGGTTTTGTGCGGATACTAGCAACATGTTTTGTGACTTTTGTGACGTTGTGTTGTTAAGTACTACTAAGTAAGAGCTGACTGTCAGTAAGAACGCAAGCAGTTTTCTTTCCGTGTAACACTTAGAGAAACAGTTGATAAATTAAGCAACGTTAACAAAAGAAAAAAAGAACACTATTCTCGCCTTCTTCGAAACTGTACATCGTTGAACCTGTACGTAGCAGTTAACATAAGTATGTGTGGTAAGATATCATAATGATTATTGTACTTCTGATTTATACATTGCCATTACTAACCTTGAATGTAACAGTTTGGGTTCATAGGCACTACCAACTGACCCGACCGATGGGTCTAGACCTTTTAGCCGAACAGAGCGTCGGCGTCGGCATGTGAGCTGGTGACCGGGTTTGGTCGTGGGTTCGATCCCCGGCCCGGGACCAGGAGTGTCTATCTGTTTCTACTCTCTTAATTCTTACATGAACGTAAGAGTATAAACGTACTGTAAAGAAGAACAATCGGCCTTAAACAAGCTTACTACATACAGTAACTGAAAAAGTGGGTAATTTTCGCTCACCTGCCAATGCCTGCGATATCAGCAGCAGACAGATCGCTGCAAGTGTCTTCATCTTGGCACGTCTAGTCGAAAAACGGTCTCCCAAGATTTTAACTAAACAACAAGACTTGATCTGATTTTTATACGCTCGCTGCAATCACGTGGTGGGACAGCTGTACAGATTAGTGATTATTGAATGAAAGGATCTGCATGGGAGATTTGTGAAACCGTTTCGTATTCAAAAGCAATGCTTTTTGCTACGGGATTGCTTTCAATTGAGTACTGTGGATATTCAGTAAAGGATGTATCGTATTTATGAGGCTTGGAAATATTGAATTGTGGGAGAATATTTCAGAAAGTGATACAAAATACATCCTCAAAACTCCTAAAAGAGCCTCTTATTAACTGAGAATGACTTTTGTCTTGTGGGCGTGTTGTAGGCTGGGCGCACTCCAAAGTTCGACCAGCGCAGGCCGGCCTGAACGAGTGCAATGTTGAACCCCAACCGTGTCTGTCTCAGGTTCTATAATGCCTGAATGGGATACAGTTAGGATCAAGCACGATTCTGGATAGTCTCTACGTATATATAAGAATGCTTAGGCATGGTGGAAAGACCAGATTTGTACAATATTTAGTTTAAACATTTCATTTCATTTCATTTATTGGTGATGCCAAACAACGCATTACAAGTGGGAGCCAGGCAGCCAAAGGCTGGTGGCGGCTGCCACTGGTACATACAACACAACACAGGACAAGTCAATACAATATACAGGACCTAACAACAAGTTACGAATATCAAAATAGTAAAACATATCAATGCATTATACAATATCAAAGACACAACATCATCAAATTAATAAAGTAATCATAATGATATCTATAATCAAAAGTGGAAGGGAAAGATGGAACGGTTGGAAAGTCAGAAAAGTTAAAAAGTTGTTTAAAAGTTAGTAGTCTGATGAGAGGTGGTTCCTGCATTTGGCCTTGAAAATTCTAACTGTGGCGGACCCTGTGACTTCACTGGGTAGATGGTTCCACAGGCGTGCAGTGTACAGGAAGAAACTGTTTTTGTAGGTGTTTGTTCTACTCCGGGGGATGTGCAGGTGGTGGGCATTCCGCAGTCGTAGCTGGGATTGACATGGAGGTTTGATAGGTCTTATACCTTTAGGTTTAAAGGTAGTAGAGTTTAGGGTCCTGGGTCGTGCAACTTAGGCCCAATTCCCACTAGGATAAAATTATCCTGATCGAGCCGAATCGGAGCCAGATCGAGCCGAATCTGAGCCAGATCGAGCCGGTTCGAAGCGAACAAGTGTATCCTAGTGGGAATGGGGCCTATGAAAAGCCTAACGTAGGAGTAAAAATGCCCAGCTACTGGTCCAGATATTATCTAATAAGGCAGATTGGCTGTATCACGCCTGACTTGAATGAAACTGGACGAAACCAGTGAGTCAGAACCAGATGACAAAGTTTTTTGTCTGTACTTTGATCTTTACCTACGGTTGGTGCAGTGTTTGTACTGCCATAGTGCAGAGGGGCATAGAGCAAAACTTTATCTCTGAAGTACTTGGTTTATTTGCCTGGTTGAAACAGTCACTGTTCTTATTTCATATTGTTAATTATTTATTGTCCTGAATATATGAAACCGGCTCCTTAAAATAGTCTCCGGCTAGTTGGGCAGTCCTGGCTGTGTATCTCTTTATATCTAATTATACACATTAAGTTTAATAAATGGAATCAAATATCCAGCTACTTTGAATTCACGGGAAGCTAAAACTGTCCTGTAGAACTGTTTTAATGGGAATCAACGTCATCAGGGCCTAGGGGTGCGAATTTGGTCAAACCATCAGCATGAGGCACGGTTTAGATAGTCCAGGCGTTTACAGAACCGTGTCTATGGCAAATCTACGGTCTTGGATAAGAGTGGACCATCCAAAACCGTGCTTAATGCTGACTCTAGCCCTTTCAGGCATAAAATTAAATAGACACACTTCTGAATACAGAAGTGATCATTTTAGATGAGGAGACAATTCTTTATGCCAGAGGTAGGTGGCGCTCGTGATATAATGATTACATATAACCTCTTTAGTGGAAGTTAAGTGATGTAAATTCATCAGGTGCGACGTAGCATCGTCAGGTGTGCATACTTTGTCATCGTGACGTGTACGCGAACCCGACAGACTCCATTTTTCATTTTTCCTGGCGAGCTGAGAGGAAGAGAAGTGTCGCTTAGCTGTAGAGCTAAAACTACAGTAAATTTGGCTGTCCCTCACCCGGTTCGGCAACTACCATCCTATCGACCATGTTTTGGAGGGTTTGGAGTCGAGTGTCGGTCTTTCTCTTCCTTCTTGTCGCCTCGTCGTGCTTAGAAGAAGCTATAGAACACGTGGTAAGACATTTTTCTCATGAATATATCTGATAGAGACCTACCTTCCAATGTCCGACAATGTCCTTCCAATGGGCTAGTATTAGGCCTAGGCACTTAGTAGTTGGGACGTCCACCAGTTTATTAGTCATTTTGTACATCATGCATAGTCTTGGCATTTTCCCTCTGTCTTCTGTCTGCAAATAAATATATTGTCGTCTTGACATTTTTCTTCTGTCTTCTGTTTGCAAACTAGCAGGTTTAATTTTTCGTTCATTGCTTCTGTAAATGTACATTTTTTTCTCGATCTCACCAAGAAAAATGACATCCAGCACGACTCGCCACCAGACGGCGACGACCCTGCTGCTTCCGAAGCGACCAGCGGCGATACCGAACTCCAGAGACAGTGCTGTGAACAGGGGAAGCAGTCTGCCGACGCCACGGGCGCCTGTGTCGGGAAGGCCCGCCGGTATGTGAAGACTCTCACCCTGGATGACGACAACGCCAAGCTGTGTAGGGTTGCCTTCAGTGGCTGCTGCAAGACTGAGAAAACTTCGGTGAGTTTGTTCTAATCTGTATCTGTATCTTGTTCCAAGCTTTCTAGTGATGACGACCCAACTCAGTATTCTTGGTGGTCAGGAGTTTCACTCTACGACTTATTTTGTATCCTTCGGGTTGAAAAATCGGGTTGTTTACTGTACAGCTACAAGAGCCATTTTGTTCACATTATATCATTTGAATACATATGAGAATTGTGAAAAAAATGTAAACACAGCATTTTCATCGGTGTTTTTGTTCACCCGTAGGCTCCGAAGAAAGACGTGAAACAACTGGGCGGCGGTCCTACAGAGAAAGAAGGAGCCACTAAGAAGAAAGGTAAGGTGGGCTGGTTACTAGAGACTAGGCGTGGAGAATGCATAACAATGCATTTTGATACAAGCACCTCAGAAAAATTGTTCCTTTCCCATGTAGCCCAACTGTTATGCTTTAACTACCTGGCAATTCCATTGCACCTAGTCGTCGGGATGACAAGGTTGAGTGTTTCTTTCTGCTGCAGCTCTCAGTAGCTCAGGGATTTTTGGATGCACCGTGGACAAAAAAAAAACGTCTTTTTGTCGTAACTTTTGTATCTGTTCACTGTATCCGTTCATCTTCTTTTGTTGTAACCTGCACTTAGCCAAGTGTGGCAAAAATGTGCGATTAAAGGTCTTCATTAATTCATTAAAATTGTAAACCTTCATTAATCTTTTTTTTTCAGCTCCTAAGGCAAAAAGAGGTGATCAGGAGCTCCGCACGTCGTGTTGTGAGCGCGGCCGCCAGTCCATCCGCCAGCGGGGCTCCTGCGATGTCAAGGCCCAAAGCTATGTCAGGACTCTCACCCTGACAAGAGGCAAGGCCAAGCTCTGCAGGATGCTGTTCACTGGCTGCTGCAACAGGGCTAGCAGGGTACCTTCGGTATGTCTCTTATACTTGTTTTAATTTTTTTTTTATTTACTTCATGGTTCTCCATTAAAAGGCTCATGGGAGCCACTCAAATGCTTTGGGTTACTGTACAGCCAGTGAGGACAGATGTTTGTTGAAGAAGTTCCACGCTAAAAGCTTCTTTCCTAGAACAACATCACTATGGAACAAGCTACCACGTGATCGTTTTCCATATGGGTATAACAAACATCTGTCCTCACTGGCTGTACAGTAACCCAAAGCATTTAAGTGGCCCCGTGAGCCTTGTTTTGTGGTGAACTATTAAGTAAATAAAAAAAAAAGACCCCTGCTCTTTTCTAGGGTGCTTTTTTCTTTCCTTCATACGTGTGCATTAGTCAAACTTTCACCTTATCAAATAGTCGTTTTTACACGTGAGTGTGACTGTCTAAAGTTGTTCCCTGTGTAGATTCCGGAAAACCCCGATGTAGATGTAAGACAACTTGGCGGTACCACACCAAGCGAAGGAGATGCAAACGAAAAAGGTAAATTAAATCGTATAGGTTGAATTGGTGAAATTTACATCCAGACAAGAACCAATAGCAAGCTAGTGACCTCCACATTTTCGTATGCAACTTTCAAGCCGTTTTTTTTGTGGGGGGGTCTTTGTTTTTAATATCCCTGTCCTATCGAGCAAAGTGTAACGTCTTCAAAACAGAAACAACAATTACTATTTTTCATTTGTATTGTAAGTTGTAACAATTATATCTTACTTTTCAAGGGGTTTATTGTTCCTCTTTGGACTGATTGATTTCTACCAGGATCCGTGGCACTTTTTTTTATTTCTGCAATGAAAAAATAACGAATTAAAGTGTAATGTATTGTTCGTTGCAGGCATTGAACCGGCCTGGAAGCGGCGCCTGGACAACCGATGCTGCAACGCCGGGAAGCGGAGCGCCGCTGCCACCCCGGGGTCCTGCCAGTCCCGGGCCCGCACCACCGTCCGCAAGGCCATCGCCCGGTCCCGCGTCGGCAAGTCCCACGGCCGCGGTACTACCCGTACAGACATGGCCGCCTGCGGACAGACCTTCATCCGCTGCTGTAACGAAGTTCCCATCGCGTAAATTTCTGTGTTGTAACGAATTTTCTTTCTTGCAAATGAGAAGAAATATTTCATTTTTATCCAAATTTGGGCACATTTTTGGGAACGTCTAGCCGTCCATATGTTGTAACAGAATTTCTATCGTTTGAAAGGGGAAGAAACAATTAGAACTCTTAGGGCCATTTATAAACCTCTAGCCCTTTCTTTGTTGTAAGGTAAAATCACCGCTTTCAAGTACAATGTATCTTTAACCATCGTCCGTAAGGCCATAGCCCAGTCCCGCGTCGGCAAGTCCCACGGTCGCGGCACTACCCGTACGGACTTGGCCGCCTGTGGACGGACCTTCATCCGCTGCTGTAACGAAGTTCCTATCGGGTAAAACGCTAAAACACTTTGAAAACAATTTGAAAACACCTAGCCGTTTCACTATATTTCCATGATAACTAGAATTAGTGTACAAGTTATATGTTTAGAAATAGCAACCAGTTGAACTTTTAAGTTTATTAACATTACGCCCTCAATGGAACTTACGTTACAGAATCATTGCACAAAAATTGAACATAATCCATTCAAGGCAATTTCTGAACAAATTTTATAACAAACGACGATCCGCAAAGCTATAGCCCGGTCCCGTGTCGGCAAGTCCAACGGCCGCGGTACTACCCGTACGGACATGGCCGCCTGTGGACAGACCTTCATCCGCTGCTGCAACGAAGTTCCCATCAGCTAAAACGAAGGCAATTTTTTTTTACCCGAATTCGGGCATACTTTGAAATGGCTAGCTATAGGTGTCCACAGAAAAAGTTTGCGCCGATTTGGACATATTTTTGAGAACACCTAGCCGTTTCTATATTGTAACGAAGTTCCTTTTGGGAAAAAAATGTGCACTTTGAGGGACTTTTGTGGACCTCTAGCCTTACCTTTGTTGTTATCATCTGTTTCGCTGTAACGAAGTTCCCATCGGGTAAAACTGGACGAAATGTTTGAACACAGGTTTGGACATACTTTTGAGAGCCTCTAGCCGTTTCTGTGTTGTAACAAATTTTCTTTCTTGCAAAAAATGTAGAAATATTCCATTTTTTCCCAAATGGGCACATTTGAGAACGTCTAGCCGTCTCTATGTTGTAACAAAATTTCTATCGTTGGAAAGGGGAAGAAACAATTGTGCCTTTTCGGACCATTTATGATACTCTAGCCTTTTCTTTGTTGTAGGATGAAATCACAACTTTCAAGTACAATGTATGTTTAAAGCAGATAAAGAAATTTGGAATGAAATATCTGTTAATCGTCATCGTTCTCTTTGCTTTCGTCATGCTGCAAATCCTGATGTTTTCCACTCTTACCGATGAGAAAATTATACACCAGAAAGTGGTGATTTTTCTCATTCAAAATGTCTCGTCCTTTAACCATTGTACTGTCAATAATGTAGATATGAAATCATTTTTCAACTTACCTGTTTAGCCCCAAATGTTAATATCTATACTGGTGTAATGCAAATATATCTGTTTTTGTTGAAATGTTCCCCACGATTCACCATGACATTAAATGTTGTTTGGAATGCAATTTTGTATCTTTATTCTCAAGTGTAGCTAGATTTCAAAATTTTACCTAATAAACCAACGTTTCTGTGACAATTAGAATAATTATACAAGATATCTATTTAGAAAAAGCAACCAGTGGAACTTAAATCATCAAGTTTATTAGAATCACGCTCTTAATGGAACTTACGTCACAGAATCATTGCACAAAAATTGAACATGAAGGACATTCTAAACAAATTTTATAACAAACAGTAGAAACCTGACTGTCGAACTGCACATGTCAAAATGTGTACAACCTTCGGACACGTCTACGTGTGCGGACGCAGAGAAATTATAGGACGGTTTGAACTGCTAAAATGTTACAGTAGTTGATAACAATTGAAGGTCTGCAGTATGTTGGATTGATCGAAAATAAGTCCCATCAGAAGAGAAGCTGTATGTGTATGTGATATTGGACTGAATGCTGTACGTATAAATTGCTACAGTTGCAAAAGTGGCGGTTGGAACAGTATAGCTACAATACGTCGGTGACGGTTAGACATCCAGGTAATAAGATACACCAAAAAACATACTCAAGCAACTGGATATGATTTTGGAAACGGCCATAGTTACAATAATCTAGGTATCAATTGACAAACAATTACATGAATCAGTTACATGGTGATGGTAAATGGATCGTACTAAGCATTGCTGGCTTGGTCTAGGGCTGTTTGGTGGTTGGAGCAGGGGTGGTGACGGTAGGTTCCACAGTCACGGTGGTGGTCTCCGGAGCTTTTGTAGGCCTAGGCACCTGAAAAAAACACAGAGAAAATGTAAGTCGTTCTAGCTTTAGATCGTACGAAAGCTACTCATCCATGCGTTGAATGTGCTGTGAAAATTTACCTTTTTCCTGCATGTTCTATCTTTCTCTCTCCTGCCGCTCTCCACAAAGAAACAAACAAGCAGCTATGTGTCAATCATCCGTAGAAACTATGCTGATTGGTCCTCTCATTCGCGGGCAAAGTTGTTCACATCGTCATTCGTAAGGCGGGAAAAGATCTGTCAATCATCCCAAACTAGCGTTCTGATTGGTTCTCTCATTCGCGGGCAAAGTTGTTTACATCGTCATTCGTAAGGCGGGATATGACCTGCCAATCATCCCAAACTAGCGTTCTGATTGGTTCTCTCGTTCGCGGGCAAAGTTGTTTACATCGTTATTCGTAAGGCGGGAAATGGCCTGCCAATCATCCTCAACCAGCGTTCTGATTGGTTTCTTTTCTTTGCACTCATTTTGAACTGAAGTCTGTGGCCTTTTTCTGTTTTCAGAGCAGAAAAACGAATATTAGACTCCGTACTCATACCAGAACGTAAATATAATAGACATTTGCTCTCAAAGGTTTCGTATTTACGGTCGGCCATTACCAATAGTTTAACGCTCTGACTTCCTAATGATGACGGCATATTTTGCTAGCGGGAAGAGAGGTAAGACTTCATTCTTACGGCGGGAAACCATCTGTCAATCTTGCAATTGCAGTGTGCCGATTGGTTCTATTGCCTCGTACGGATTTAGAACTAAAGTCTGTATTGTTTTGTGTTTTCGAAGAGTGAAAATCAACATTAAACTCCGTATTGATATTAGAACGTAAATATCATAGACATTTACTCTCAAAGGTTCAGTATTTACGGTCATTTATAATGGTTTAACGCTCTGACTACGTAGTGCCATAAATGATGATAAGCGTAGACTCTCGCTGGCGGGAAGACCTGTAACCTGATACCGTGGGTAGAGAGGTAAGACTTCATTCTTACGGCGGGAAACCATCTGTCAATCATTCCATTGCTGTGTGCTGATTGGTTCTATTGTGTCGCAATGGGTTACAACTAAAGACTGTGTTATTTCTTTTTTATTCAAAGAAAAATTAAAACTAGTCATGTCGGGACGTAAATATTATAGCTAGTTACTGTCACTGATTTAATGTTTATAACCATTCATGATTGTTTACAGGGTCAGCTTGTTAATGATGACGACATATTCCCGCCGGCGGGAAAACCTGTAACCCGATACTTTGGGTGGGGTGGTGTGACATCATCCTTACGGAAGGTAAGTACGTGAGTTCCAAGTCTTGTTAACGTTGATTCAGTATGTTATATCACTGTACAGTTATGTTTGGGTATATTGCCTTGTACAGATCTAGAACTGAAGTCTTTGCCACTCTGTCTTTTCGGAGAGGAATAATTAATGCTAGTCATATCAGGACGTTAATATTATAGGTAATTACTGTCACTTATTTAATGTGTATGGCCATTTATGATTTAAGCGCCAGTTTGTCGATGGCGAGAGGGCGCGGGAAGATCTGCAACCGGATACGTGTTTGGGTGGTGGGAACAAGTTCTTACTGAAGGTAAGTACTGGAAAGTAAGTAAGCCTGGTTGATTCTGTATATGTTATATCACTGTTCTGGTTGGGTATGCTGCCTTGTGCCAATTTAGAACTGTGCCATTTTGTCTTTTCGGAGAAAAAAAACATTGCACTACGTACTGACATCAGAACATAAATATTTAAGACGCTTACTGTCACAGGTTTAATGGTTTCGACAACGACTTTTTTAGCGCCAGCCTCTCAATGATGATTGCAGATTCGCGCGAGCGGGAAAATTTGTGGCCCGATATGGCGTAATGGCAGTACGCGTTGGTGACGGTATTTTGTACGTGCGTTTCATTGATGCCTTGCTGGCCGATGTGCCAACTTCGACACAACAGGAACCAAGTCTAAGGTAAGTTCTATATTCTCGTTGAATTGGTCTCAAATACAATTTGTACCGTGGTTTACAGATAGTCATGGCTATAGAATGTGAAATACTCAATTGTTTGTGTGTTTGTATATTAATAATGCAGCCTTTTCAATGGCTATTTTACTCAAAACAGACCACCCGTTGGCATATCGCCATTCAATATTATCTAAATTGAGCCTTTCCGTGTCAGCAAGCAACATTGTTAATATTAACGTTTTTGTTTCTTTACGTAAGATTTATTTATTCATTTTATCACACCAGTGCAAAACAGATGTTTCTGGGCACAGAAAAGTTGAATTATCATTTGATTTTTATTAGTATTATTTTAAGATGTAGTGTTTTGCTATGGACGCTTTTTTATCTGAAATAGAGAAGAAAGAAAACATCCCCACCTTCTCGCAGCACCTGTTGAGCACCCTGCTGCAGACGCGGCGGATGGCCGGCCGGCGCATCCTGCGCACGAAAGAGGCGGCCCTGGACTCGCAGGACCCGCGGCTGGACCGGCCGAACCGCTTTCCCACACGGCAGCACCTCCTCACGAACGCGCGCCCTGGCTTCCCACGGCCTAGGACAGGAAAATAATAGAAAAAAAAAGGAAAATAAATAAGTAAACTATAAAGGTAACAGGAAGGAGGCCGCCCTAGACTCGCAGGACCCGCGGCTGGACCGGCCGAACCGCTTTCCCACACGGCAGCACCTCCGCACGAACTGGCGCCCAGGCTTCCCACGGCCTAGTCCGAGAAAAAACACAAGAACACAGGTTAGTTTTACCTATCTCCTCAATTTGCTTGTCACGGCCTAGGACAGGAAAAAAATCTCAAGCTTTGTTCCAACACAAGAACACAGGTTTGTTTTACATAATCATCTCCTTAATTTTCCCTAGCTGGACCGGCCGAACCGCTTTCTTACACGGCAACACCTCCGCACGAACTGGCGCCCCGGCTTCCCACGGCCTAGTCCGAGAAGAAAAAAGATGAGCGTAATATTTGTAAAGTTCAAACGTCCCTGGACTCGCAGGACCCGCGGCTGGACCGGCCGAACCGCTTTCCCACACGGCAGAACCTCCGCACGAACTGGCGCCCTGGTTTACCACGGCCTAGTCCGAGGATAAAAAAAAGATGAATGTAATATTTGTAAAGTTCAAACGTCCCTGGACTCGCAGGACCCGCGGCTGCGCCACGAGGCCGCACCTCCGCACGAAGGCGCGCCCCGGCTTGCCACGGCCTAGTCCGAGAAAAAAAAGTTCAAGCAACACAAGAACACAGGTTAGTTTTTCGTAACAAAACAGCTGAACTTTTTGCAGGCCAGGATACACGCGTGCATGGCTATGACAAGGATGTTTTGATCGCCGAAATGATTCGACAGAGCAGGTTAGTTCTTTTTTATATATTCCTAATTTTCCACAGCTTTAGTTGATTAAATGGTAGGAGAACGTTTTGGGTTTAAAAATGTAATTTGTTCTTGTACAGTATATAAGATATATTTACGTTTTCCGGGAGCACGAGGAGAGAATCTCCCCTCCTCCTCCTCATAACTGCCCTCATCTTCCTCCTCTTCTTCGACCACGCTGTCGATGTCCATGTCGGTCAGTTCATTCTCAAGCCTGTGGCGGGGTTAAAACAGAAGAACTATAGATTTATGAGGATAACCGAGACAATGTCTCTCGTGTAATAACCTTTGATACTTTTAACTTACTATATAGTAAAAACGTACGTATGTTCTAGAGTGCTACTATCATTTGTCGAGCATGTGGTAGTGAAAAACAGTCAAAACGGAAGGAAAAATAAACTATCTACTGACTATCGGAGACAAACTCTATGTTGGTGTAATACCTACAATTGATATATCTAACTTACAGTAAAGTATATAACCTTATCTCAGAACCATGCCTATCCTTCATTTTGGTAAGACCACCACATACAGGCCGGTGGCACTTCTTTAATATACGGACCCACTCAAGCTCTAAAGGGCAAAGGCATTACTTTCTGAAGCCATTTTGTAACGGATGTAAATTTGTCTTACATCTCCAACTCGTTGTTATCCATCTCCTCGAAGTCCTCCATGTCTTCTTCAGAGGAAGTCTTTTCCACAGGGATGTTCTCTGGGTATGGTAAAAGAAACATGCATGTAAAATGCAGGACTTAGCACTCAAGTATAGCGTAGTAAATGCCTAATGGCGGTTAAGAATATTTAAAAAATACGACAATTTCCGGGCTAGGATGTTGCTGAAAAATCTTTCTTACTGACATTTTCTTTCATATTAACTACTTTGGAATGAAGCATCGCTGTCATCTACGGTGAGGGCCATTCTGGCTCCATTTTGTACATTCTAGCATAGAATACAACTCTGTTATTGTTTGCTTCATCGCCAATTAACGTAAGTAGCCACAGTGCTATGCTTACTCTCAGGCAGAGAGTCTTTAGCCTTTTCCTCTTCCACGTAAGGCAGCTTGCTGTAGAGCTCCTCTGACTCCTCGCTGGTGGGCACACGGGGCGGCTGCGGGGCGACCATGTCCTGTTACGGAACGAAACAAGGCAATAAGAGTTATCAGGGCCCACTACCTTATCCATACTGCTTTTCAAAGCTTCCAGTCCCATAGACAAGGTTAAAAATATGAACATGTGTTCTACGCTTGTACTTGGCTACGCTTGGCCCAAGTGCTGTAGCCTGTTCAAATGTATTTTTCCGGGTCACCTTCCTACTCCTTTGCCAGATCTAGAGAGAATGGTTTTTACTTCATAGTATTTTTTAATGTTTGTAATGCAATGTCTCGCAAATGATGAAGAGAATAAGTAAGTAAGTAAGTAATGCGATGGCTTTTTCGTCTTGTGCGATTCCTTTACTTGCTTAGAAACTTTCAAACAGAGGTCATGTCCCGAAAAAGCAAGACTCACATAGTGTTAAGATTGGAAAATAAGACTCACGGTTCTCTTGGCGCGCTGGCAGCACTTCCAAAACACCCTTTGGCAGATGTTTTCTTGTGCGGATACCTACTTGAACGTACAGACGTTCTTCCTATCTACTTTCTTCTCAACTATAGTGTTAAGATTGAAAAATAAGACTCACGGTTCTCTTAGCTCGCTGGCAGCATTTCCAGAACATCCTCTGGCAGATGTTCTTGCCCCTGCTGGTCCGGAGCGGCAGGGAGCCGATGTGCGACATACATTTATGTAGTATAAGGCAAGAAGCACAGCGCCTTGTTACGGCAGGTCCGCGGCGCGTTGGCGGCGTCTTTTCCCGCCTTGCAGCAGTCCACCTTCCGCACCAGACGGGGCATCAGCGGGCGCACTGGATGAAACAAAAGTGTTTTTTTTTTATTGACATATATTTATGTAGTATTAGGCAATAAGCACAGTTGCATATGTGACGACAGCGCCTTGTTACGGCAGGTTCTCGGCGCGTTGGCAGCGTCTTTCCCCGCCTTGCAGCAGTCTACCTTCCGCACCAGGCGGGGCATCAGCGGGCGGACTGGAGGGAATAGGAGTTTTTATTCCGTGAATAGTTTCATCAGGTTGGTAAGGCACTGAGTGAAGAGACTCCTTTTACACAACAAAGTCTTTTATTCAGCCGATGTTTCGGTGGTTGTCTGTCACCTTCCTCAGGGCGACACCTGTGCTGCAGTGCAATGTAAATCAGTCAGCATTGCCATGAGAAAGGTGACAGACGGTCTCGATCCCGAAACGTCGGCTGAATAAAACACTTGGTTGTGTAAAAAGAGTCTCTTGACTCGGGTGTTTTTATTTATTCACACATATTAATTGACAGCGCCTTGTTACAGCAGGTTCTCGGCGCGTTGGCGGCGTCCTTTCCGGCCTTGCAGCAGTCCACTTTACGCACAAGCCGGGGCATCAGAGGACGGACATGAAGAAACACAGGGTTCTCACCAGGATTTTTTCACAGCATAGGGGTCGGGTACAGAAGGGCAACTTTCGCGGTGCAAGTCCCATGAGACACTTTCTCGTTCAGATTTTGTGACGTTAAGGTTTTCCCTTTGGTATAGCTTCATTGTAATTTTTTTCTTACTATTTTTATGGATTGTCAATGGCATAGTTCTTAGAAAAAAAGGGTTTTTGACAACTTCAATTCTTTGTTTAATTAATAATTCTGATATTTAAAATCATGGCTGTTTCTTGTTCTTTCTTTTTTTGGGCTGGCTTGTATCTGACTTATTCCTTATAGGATTTTTCTAAAAAGAGCCACTCACGAGCATCTGTAGCAGACTCGTTTTCCTCTTCGGGTTCTTCAATGGCCTCGTCATCCAGCTCGCTCATGTCTTCCATTTCCGAGTCGGAAAACTCAATCTCCTCAATTTCTTCCTCCATCTCTTCTTCTTCTGGAAGGTAGAACAAAGACAGACGTTTTCAGTCATCTCATGTCTTCCAGTAACGACCACACAATAGAAAAACTATGTGAATTTATCTCCAGTTGCTTTAAAAGGAGAGGAAATCTTCAAGGCCTAGATTAGATGAAAGGCGTTCTCTTAGTAGTTGTTAAGACTTTTACGCTATTCTTTTATCCTTGTATTCCATGTTACTTAGTATGATGTACATGTAACATTACACTCTGATGTATGCAATTAGCCCCATTGGCATGAACATGTAAATAAAGATTCATTATGTAAAGGGATGTAAGGGGTTAAACCATATTTGCTCCTTAAGAATGACAAGATGAATTAATACAAATTTGAACCTGTGATGAGAAGACCACCAACCACCTTTGTTTATAAGGTATACCACCAGGAGTTTAAAAAAAGGCAGACCCCAGGAAAGACCACCCAAAAGGTGGAAAGACCAGATTCAAGAAGACACAGGGCTTACCCTAAGGGAAGCTGAGACTATTACGCCTTGGACAGAGCTGGCTGGAAAAACAGGAGAGGAGCAAGGGGCCATATCCTAGCCTGAGCACTTATGCAGGTACTAGGTAGGTTTAACACTAATACAAAACTAGTAATACTTAACAAACCTGAAGTCATGTCCGGGATTTTAGCCTTGCTCAGTGGCGCCGGAAGGAGTGGATCTTTGTCGAAACCCTGGAAGGAAACAACCAAATCTATGAAGCCTTCTTACACTTTATGAATATGATGTCTAGTGATGGACTGGAAAGGGGGAATTTTGGCCGGGAGTTGGACGTACGTCTTCTTGATGCCACAGTCTCTCATACAAGTCTTTTGTATTCAGAACTGTGCGTTATCAAAAATTGGCATTCCGTGGACGCGTACCCAGAACCATGCCTGGGGCAAATCTATGTTCTTGCATGGATACGTGAAGACTATCTAAATACTCGCCTGATCCTAACCCTAATTACATTTAGGCATAAAACTAGATAGGCACATTTCTGGTACCTTCATAGGCAATAATTTGCTTACCTCCTCCATCCTTTGCTCCAGCCAGTTCCAATACTCCTCCATGTAGTCAGAAAGTACCGGGGTGAAGTCCTTAGAGTGGAGCTGATTCAAACAAACACCAGAAAACTTTAGCTTTTACATTGCTACTGACGTCACTAGCTAAGTTTCCTTTACTTTAGGCTGCAAATATATAGATCTAAATTCAGAGTAAAGGACAATATTTCAAAGAAATTTTGGTAATCTCGGATCTTAGTAGTTTAGTACAAGTGTACTTATAGATAGAAATCCTCCCCATGCCCTTCGGTTTGATGACCATCCCCTTTTGGTGGCCCTTGAACCACATTTGTCGAAGTAAAGCGGGGTAGCAGTCCACTGGCTGTACTTCTATCTTGGGTTTTTTGCATCTAGGTAGACTGTCTACAGCTTCTTTCACTCAGTCCATCTCAGAAGTTCTCAAAGGGCTGCGCCTATCGTGGTACGGCCGATACTAGCTCGGCAGGCTTTACCATGTACCACAATATCCTTGGTCAACATAGCTTTGGCACCATCCGGATTTTCGCTCCGCAACGCTCTAAAAATTGTACTATCATATCTTATAAGCTAATCACCTCCTTGTCGAAGTCCACCTTCTCCTGTGCGAAGCACTGGTACTTGTCGCTGCCGTCCAGCTGACAGCAGGGGTGGGCCGGCTGGTTCCCGAACTGCGGGTCCGTGCTGCAGTACCGATCCACCCGCTGGCGGCTCTGCTCGTCGATGCAGCTCCTCAACTTCTCGCCGTCCTCGATCTGGCAGCACTCGACAAGTTTCTGTTGTGGCAGAAAAGATATTCTTCACTTATAGAGTGGAATAATAAGTTCAACAAGATTTCAGGAGTTTAATGTTAATTAAACACATGGGTCCTACATGGCCAAGGCAGGCATGAGGGATACATGGTGAGATGGATTACTGTTACTGGTAATAGGTTCAGGCGGAAGGCATCAATTATGGTGAGTCCCACTCCATCATTTTTCAAAGACTAAAGTTAATGTTTTTGAAACCCTTTATTCGTGGTTTCCAACTCTGGTACTTGAAATTATTGTAATTGCCGCCTTGTGTTCATCCTGGAATAAATAGGGTGGATAAAAGAGAGGGAGTCAAAACCGCCCTTCCGACTTAAAGAAAGTGACGAAACGACGTTGAAGGCAACGTACCATTTTCTGCTGGACCCTCTCGTACCAGTTGTAGAAGACGCCGAACTGGCTGGGCACGTCCTCCTGGGTGGGAGCCTGCCACTTCTTCGCCATGTCACAGTAGCGGCCAACCTACAGGGGTGATAACTGTAAGTTACACAGCATACTGACACATGTAACTACCTACCTACCTGGTCCCATGACCGATACTGCTCGTCGGGGGGACAAGGCAGACTTTGCAGCAGAGATGTAGCCAGGTTTTCCTGTCTTGGGCTGCTGTAAGGCACATGTATCAGGCAAAAATGTGATGTCCCTGATGGAAAACGTTCGCTTGTTTCGTAGGCTAGCTTTTGACAGGTAGTATCCCATAACAAAAGGACGCCCCACATAGCTTGTTCTGGGGCTTTTGAAAACGCTTTGAATATAAAATGATGACGAAAATGTGATGAAGTAAATGGTGACGGCAGATAAATTCAAAACAAAAACAACAATAATGATAACAATAACTTAGACCGTAGTGTAACATGTACCCTTTCCGGTGAGATGGCGATGGCGCGGGTTCTCCAGGGGTTTTTCAGGTCAATAAGCTGCTGCAGGGTGTCATAGAACTTCTCAAGGTCGGGTGTAAAGTCCACCTCATGCACATCCTCATCGTACCAATACCTGTCAATACAAAACAGTACATTGAAACAATCACATCAGGTCAAAGAAGATATACAGTTTTAACTTTATACAGTGAGGTGTTTGGTTCGACCTGTTGTTTTTTAATTAACTGGTCATGGTAAATTTGTTTTTGCATGTCTTCCTGAACTTCTCTACAGTAATAGTAACAATAACATAGATGTACTTTATCTTTGCAGGAGCTCAAGCAAGGATCCAAGGACTAAGGTAAGGACGTTATCATTAAATGTTTACACACATCATTACAAAAACACTGTTAGGTCTATGACAATCACTCGAGATCTTTATTTGCAATTAGATACAGATTCATGTACAGATACATATTCATGCACAGATACAGATTCATGTACAAATATACAGGTTCAGATTTTACAAATATGATGACCATGTCAGTTCCTGCACTTGAGTGAGGAGGGTTGACACTGTGGCCTTCCCGTGGATTTGTTTAATGCTCTGTCGTTAAGAACAACGGAAAAACGCCGGACCTTTCCTGATCGAAACACTCAGCGCGGCGCCCCTCCTGCTCTCGGCAGCAGGGGTGGGTGAGTCCGAACTTGCCGTGCGTAGTCAGATCCTGCCGGGCGCACAGGCTCTCCATGTTCGTCTTCTGCAGAGACCTGGTGGAGAAGATTGTTATGATGTGCAAAATTAGCCTCCATCAGTCGTTCATCCGGATGGTAGAATTTGGCATAAATTGACCAGGAGAGTAAATTACACCCCTCCTTCGCAGGTGTAAATGAAAAATCTCCTGTATCTTCTCTCTTTTTTGGCTAGATTTTTCTGTTTTTGAACCCGGATTGTAAGTCCGGTGGAGGCTAGAACAAATTGATGATCTTGGCAAACAATAACAAGTATATGAGTCCAGTGCAGGAAGAGAAAGAAGCAATTCTGCCTAGTACATAGATGCCACGCTGTCATGCTACAATGGCGTTTGATAATTTTCAAACGTGTTTGCAAAAAAAAAGGGAACACCTTATCATCGGGGTGGATAGTCAATGCCAGTGATATAAGATAGTTTAGATGATGATACCTGAAGCAGTCTCCCTGCTCTTCGCCTTCCACAGAACAGCAGCTGGAGATGTCCTCCTTGCGGGTCTTGAGAACCTGAGTGTACACAATTGAAAGGTAAGACTTTATAGCATTCCGAACGACTGACTCCGAAACCGTATGAAGTAATTCTGTGATGAATGTTGTGATTGTTCTGATAGTTACATGTTTAAAGTAAGAGCTTTTGTTCCAACACGGGATTGTTATGAGTGAGATCAATCCGATCGTATTGGAACTAAGATATTCCAACTTTGAACTTAAAAAGTGATATAAACATATATTATCATAGCTAAGAAAATATTAAAAAAAACTATACATAAGCAGAACTATACATAAGAATTTATTTCGTGGATGAAGGTTAGACATCCAGGTAATAAGAAACGCCAAATAACAGTTACTCAAGCAACTTGATACGAAAGGTAGTGGATGCTACCGGAAACGTCTGACCGTTTCCAAAATCATATCCAGTTGCTTGAGTAACTGTTTCTTTTTAGCGTAAAAATCTAATTGATATGAGCATTGACTTTGGTATTGTAACTTACCTCTTGATACTCCTCGTCGAACATGTGCTTCTCATGTTGATGTCCGTACTTCGCTGGTTCGGGGTGGTTCTAGGGAAGGAATTGGTGAACAAACGGGGTAAATGAATAGGTAAATGGATGGGTAAATGAATATAAAAGCTCTGAAGAAGGTGTCTGACAGACACCGAAACGTCAGCAAGGTGGGAATTTACCAGTTGTGTAAAAAGAAATACCTGTCACCCTCATTTACCATTTTCAAAAAAAATTCAATTTCTGCAGTAAGTAACAGTAACCGTTTTTATTTTCTTAGGATATTAGAGAGATTAGTTTGGCTACCATAAGCATTGCAAATTGGCCAGCTAACTGTGGAAGGTGTTCAGCACCAAGGACAGGTTTGTTTGTGTGTGGAATGTGTTCATTCTATCACGGATTGAAGTCCCCGCGAAAATAAATGAGTAGAATACTCTTTATACAGTAGAATAAAAAATAGGTAATGACCATTTCCTCAGATTCCTTGTCAAACATGTGTTGTTCGTGCTTGTGACCCAACAGTGCGGGTTTGGGCTCCTCTGCACTACGCTGTGTGCGTCGCATGGGCATTCCCTCTCGCACCTTGTGGGCTAAGGGAAGGCATGCATGAATGAACGAGTCAATGAACGAAACCAATGAACGATCACTCATTCATAAATGTTTGCTTTACAATTTCATATCAATTTACACGTCCTTTACAAGTCTGAAAGTTTACTGTATATTTACTGTGCCGCAGAGCTCTATTAGAAATCACAGAATAAGGGCTACCCATACATCTATTGTAACTAGATGACTCAAAGGGTAATGTAATGGGAACTGGCAATGTCACTTTCTCAGAAATAGAGGCAATTATAGAATGCCTGTTTTACTACAAAGTCATGGACCACCAGGGCCAACTTGAGTTCATGTGTTGAAAACACAAGAGATATACCCAGCCAGTATTCATCAGCTAATGCTAGCAGAGTCGACGATTTCTTATGAAAGGAATAAGTAAAAAGCCTGTGTGTCCATAATGTGATAACACTTCTAAATCTGATAGAAGTCTGGATGTCTAACGTACACCGGCGACTCAGATACTACGATGTGAACTTACCCAGCTGCTTGACTCCCTCGGCATACCAGAATCCACGTTCCTTCATGTCCATGTCCGGCTTCATGTGCATGGGTGGCTGGGGGCGGCCATGCGGGCGGGGGTGGTTGCCAGGGCCAGGTCTACGCATTCCGGGACGGGGGCCGCCACCAACTTCCTCCCTCATGCCTGGGCGCGGTCTGCGCATGCCCGGGCGTGGATGGTTGCCAGGGCTAGGTCTGCGCATGCCCGGGCGAGGACCCTGGCGATCTTCTTCCTTCATGCCAGGGCGGGGTCTGCGCATGCCCGGACGGGGTCTCTGTCCAGCCGGACGCTGAACTTCCTCCATGTGTCGGCAGAGGGCGCTGATGCCGTCGGTGTCGGTCTGTCTGGGGGCGATGAAGGTGGGAGACCGGGGGCAGCTGAAGGGGTTCTTCCTGATGTCACGGAAAGCCTCGACTGGAAGAGTCGATAAAAAATCACTGCAAGTTCTTGTTTGATGGGTGTAAGGAATCACCGTGATAGACAAGGACTTACACATGCACTAGCTTCCTTTTGCAAGTAGTGTACCGACTATTTCAAATAAGAACGGCAGGAATCATTCTCTCCCATTCCCACATCCTTTCATTCACTCAATCTCTCTCCCTCGGAGTGATTGCATTCAGCGGAAAGTGTGCTCATACTCACCGCTCAGGGGTATTTTCTCGCTCTCTCTCCTCTCTCTCCCTCCCCCCTCTCTGGGTGATTACATGCAGCAGAAAGTGTAAGTCTGTTCATATTCACCGCAGTGGGGTATTTTCTTTCATTGTCTCTTATCCTCTCAATCTTCCTCTCTCTCTTTCTCAGAGTGATTGCTTAGCAGAAAGTGTTCCCATACATGTACATACCACTCAGGGGGATCTGATCCTCGTACATGGAGCCGCGCTTAGACCCTGGGCGGACCATCCTGGGCCTATTCTTTTCCTCCTCCGCCTCTCCATCGGGCTTCGCACCGGGGCGGGGCCTGCGGACGGGCGGGCGGGACCGGTTGTCAGGCCGCCGGCGCTCCTGGCGGGCCTCCTTGTGGGACTGGATGTGAGCCCGTGCCTTGCGCACACATTCGCTCCTCTCATCCCCTGTTGAGCAAGACATGAAAAAATTAAGGATATGATCTCCAAGCAGCTGTTAGGCTACAAGATTATATTGGGTAGTTTTTGACAGCCAGGCTTGTTGCTTTCTGTTGGGAAACGTCAGAAATGTTTAACACACTCACGCACGCGCACACACTCACACACATGGATACACACACGCTCACACATACACACACGCTCACACATACACACATGGTCACACACACACACACACACACACACACACACACACATGGATGGATACACATCCTACACACCCCCACATGGACATGGACCATATGCATGGACACCCACACACAAATACACACACATCATCATCATCATCATCATCATCATTCATCCTCCGTGGAGGTGGAGCATACAAAGTTAGTTCGCCACAACTGTCTGTCATACATCACTGAGAAAAGTATACACACACAAACACATAGATAGATCCACAGAACGTCAAGTTTCACCTTCGTAGCGGCAGCACAGCCCGATCATGGCCCAGAAGCGCATGCGCCTGCGACGACGTCCCAGCATTCCCTCGGATGCCTTGCACAGCTTGTCAAACTCATCACCTGGAGAACAGAAACGACAAAAAAAGGCTTGTCATCATGCAATGCTAGCCTCTACCAGGCGTCGGGAGGCGGCAGGAAAGAGTAGAAAGTTGTCAAATAGAGAGACAACATGCCAGTGGAGTTGGTCCACTTAAGACTAAAGCTTTCCGCCTCCGAAAACTACCAAGCAATGCAACAGCTTATTCGAAAGGAGACATTCCACAGTTAAAGGGATGTGCAAAACAATTCATCCTACACTACAGTCTTTCCTAAGACCATAGAAGTTAAATTATACTATTCATTAAGAAATTGGAAGGCATGTTAAATAAGTGAGAACATTAAGGAGGTTAACATAAAGCTTATTAGTTCGGATTCTTCAAAATGCACCGAATTTTCTAAATCAAGTACAGTCAAACCTGTACTAGCGGTCACCTTTAGTATAGTGGTCACTCGGCCAGTTTTTGCCGGTCCCTTGAATTTTTCCCATTGACGTAAGCATGTATACCAAAGGAAAAATGAGAGGAGCTTACCGTCAATGTCGTCAATATCTTCCTCTTCTTCTTCTTCGTCAATATCTTCTTCAGACTCAGCAGACTCCGGCACTTCTTCCTCCCACTTCTCTTCTGGCTTCTTCTCGTCGTATTCCGGCTTCGGTTTGAAGTCTGAGTCTTCTGCTACCTCCTTTACCACGGTCATCACGTCTTTTATGGACAGAAAGAGAAGTTTAAGTTTTATCTATTTTACCAAGGCATGTCTCACATTCGTGTATATAGAAATAGCATCAAGACAACGATAACACAAGAAGTAGCATCATGAATGCCTTAACACAAGAATTAGAAAATGTGTGATCCCAAACTCTTGGTCGCTTTTCTGTTATTTTTTTGCCCCCATTAAAGACCACAAATTGGTTTGTTCCAAGCATATTTGTCTACATTCTCCATGCTTAGGATTATTAAACTCAGTGTATTCATCTGAATAGTTTTGGTCTATCTATATCATAGCCATCTGTCATATTCTTTGACATCGTTACTTTTCTACCTTGAATTTCTTAATATTTTGTTGTTGCAGATACTATTGGTATTTGATAACAAGAAAATTAATTACCTTTCTTTGGCTGGTATTTCTCCAGTGGCACCATATCCATGTCCTCTGTGAAAACAGACAGAAGTTTTTACCATTCTTAATTACAGAACATGTTGGATGCAGATCAAATTGGCTTCACCGGTTAGTTCGTATCCATATAGGCATCATAGACTTTTATATAGCATTTTAACTATGAATTGTCAGTACTGGAAACAGATATGGTGGACAGTGCTGGTTGCTATGGCATTTTCATGATAGACATCAAAATTACAGATGAAATACTTCATACCAGGTTCAGTTTACTACTGTGGGAATCGAATTGTGGCCTGGACGTCAAGTGAGTGTTCGTGTTGTGTCCACAGCCAGGCTTTAGCCAGAATCATGTTCAGGTACAGTTGTGAAAAGTCCACACGTATTCAGAACCGTGCTTCGGGCAAAACTGCCCTTACCTATTCAGGCACTTAACTAAACAGGCTGGTTACAATAGTCCTCACCTTTCTCTTCTTCCATCTCGTTCTTGACGTCGAAGTTGCCGTCTTCCTGCGCGCACACCGTCTTGGTCAGCGGCCCGTCCTCAAGGCGCCCGTCGTCAAGGTAGAACTTCGTGTCGTCTTCAATCACCGTGGCCCTGGGAACAAAGATAAAGAAGAGTAGCCCAATTATACGACAGTAGGCTCGACTTTTACATGGACTTTAAAATTGGAACAAACAATTTTATGGTCTCAAATGGGGTAGGGGATTTTCCCGCTGACCAGCCTCGTAACCCCTGCTTCTGTTGGGTCAGTTAGTCCTCACTACTTATGAGAAATTGGGCTGGTCTCAATCCTGATGTTTCTGACTTAGGGATAAAAGTTGCTGTTACAGTTTTACTCGGTAACCCGTAACCCAGGTGAGTGGTAATACCATTCAGGTGGTAGTACCATTCACCTTGAAGTGGCCTGACGGCCGTGTTACGTGGCGACCACTATTCAGGAAAAATACATTTTACAAGTCGATACAGTTGAAGGCACTGCATATATTACGTAGATATGGAGTCCGGGCATGACATAAGCAGATTGAAATGTATGTGTTTGTCTTTGGAGAAAGCTTTACTAGCTTGACATGTGATCATGTGGACTGGGCCCTTACCTGAAGGTAACGCAGCCGCAAGGTGGCGCTTTCCAGCTGAGCGGCACCTTGACGGCGGGCTCGCTCTTACTGTTGACCAGAGTGTTGCAGTGCTTCAGTTCCTTCACACCCTTATGGTAAGCCTTCAGCTTTCCCGACTTGCACTTGGCGTCATCTGACGTCACGCTGACGTGGAAGCCCTGGAACTTCCGGTCTCTGTTGTTGCTGTGCAGGCCCACTGGAGTGAGGGAATGAATGAATGAATGGGTGGATGAACGTATTGAGGGACTAATGAATTATTTGTAACAGAAAACAACAGTAGACTACAAAATTAATTTGTGAGCTCCTTAGCAGCTAAATGAAGATGCATATGGCGGATGTCATCTGAAAGCTTTAGTGTTTTGAGGTGTTCAAAATCTCTATCATGGAGTGGAACACGCTGCCTCCAAGCACAGTTGGGGCATGATCATCACCGAAAAGCTTTAAAGAACTGCTGCTAAATGTGAAAAAAATTGACTATAACAAGTCATTCGGTGTGATACACATATAATTACCTGCCGCGCAGTGTGCCTGCGAAGCTGGTACATGTATACTACGCCGAAGGACGGTTATACCGGCTATGTACAGATACAGAAGCTGGTAAATTACGCCGAAGGGCGGTTATACCGACTATACAGATGCAGAAGAGTAGTTTTCATCTTACGTGTGTGTGTCTCCAGCGGTTTGAAGCCGTCCTCTGCCTCGTACATGACGAGCTGGAAGAGCGGCTCTCCCCCCGGCAGCTCGTTGTAGGTCTTCTCGGCACCTCCCTTCGCCAGCTCCGAGGGGTAACGCTCAGGGCACTCGTGGTGCTTCTCTGGAGAAAAGAAGATATAAAGCATTATGTCTTCCATGTTTTAACGTAAATTTCTAACAAACGTACAAAACTTTATCTTTACAGATTTCGGCCATCAAAATGCCGGATTTGGTAGCGGTGTTAGTTTTCATATGGATTTAAAAAAATTCCGGAACCCTAATCCTCTACAATAGTTTTTAGTTGCGCTTATTTTTAATAATGTTGCGCTTCACTAAGTAAGGAGGAGGTTCAAGGTTCACTAAGTAAACTAATTTTTGGCGTACCAACAATTTTTTTTTTATCATAACGGTTTAGTTCTACGGTAAGCAGTCTGTAGAAGAACCTTAGCAATTATCTAATTTACATTTAGCCCCAGGATATGAAGTTGCAAATTAAACAAACAGTTAAAAACACGGGTTTGGTGTCACCCCGTGAAACCAGTTTGGTCACGCATTTAACCCTGTGTAAACCTAACAACAAACTGTCAGCGGCTTGTTTGACGACAAAACAACTCGAGGGGAAAGATTGATTTTCTGCGGCTAACCAGAGCGGGGCAGATTAAAGTCCAAATAAAATTAACAAGGTTAACTGAGGGGCATATACTGCAATAACCAAGCAGATGCAGGCCTCGAAATGTCCCTAAAATAAATTTCAATTGTCCTGAAGTCAGGATGAAGTGTCCCAGCCTGTTGTTAGTTCTGATTCCCAGGATCTATGAGCAGAGTTGACATGAAGTTTTAAGGGACTTTTCCGGAGCAAAAGCCAGCATGTCTGTGTAAACCAAGGACGTTCTACCTTGGAACCATTCTGCAGTTTGATATTTTTCTATGAAATTTTTAGAAGTTACTAGAACGTCTCATATATGTACTAGTGCAAATCTTCTGCTCATTCTAAATGTTGTTTACTTCGTCCTTTAGCAAACCCCCCGATGTCATGGCGTTTGTGCCTGGCATGGCGCTAGAACTATGACGTCGCAGTCAGGATTCTGAGAAGGCTATCTGTCCGGATGTATCGTGATGACAGAGAAGTGTAATCTTCAAACAGATTGGGTGGGGCAAACGCTGGCCGCCTGTATCCATCGTCCGTGGTAGCCTCTACCAGGCTTCGGGAAGCAGCTGGAAAGAGTAGAAATCGGCCAAATAGAGAGATAAGCATGGCAAGGGAGTTTGTCCGTTGAGAGAACATTTCGCCGCGGCTACGTCCGTGGGGTAAATACAGTAGACCAACATAAAATCCCAAAGCCCCACTGAAGATTAAGAAAAGTGTTGCTTTGTCCAGCGTTAACTTTCCTGTTTGATTTCGCGATAGCCGTGGTTTAACGCGACCAAAACAAACAGGACTGGTTGTTATCTTAACTTGTGACTTCGTGGTCATCGGATTTGCATAAAAAGCCACCTTATGTTAATTCAAGCTTTCACGCAATCTTTGGCCATTGTTTCAACGCCGAAAATGTAATTTGCTTTGTTTATCTTAGTTGATAGGGTGTTAATGTCAATGATAATATGAATCAGCTGTAAACTGCTAGTATTTCTTATCACTTTGTGGTATGGAAATATTGCCTGGATGCCATACTGTTGCTAAGCTCACCGAGGCTAGCTTCTTGGCACTAGGACCAATATGCCTCCAATGAAATTTTATCACTGGCCCTCAAAAAAAGGCTGGCATTGTTCACTATATGATCCTCCCACATTCCTGGTGCTTTAATATCCCACAAATTTATTAAGCTTAAGTTGAGCTTTCCAAATTCTGATGTATTATTTGTACAACACAATATCAAAACCAGACAACAATGGAGATATACGTAATACATGTGTACAATCAAAGCTTCCAACTAACAATTTTCACAACTTTGACAACAAAGTTAAATTTCTTTAGTCTAAGACAACTTTGGCATTGTCCCCTTTGTAATAACTTCAAAGTTCATCTTTCCAAATTCTGATGTATTATTTGCAAAATGCCAACAACCAGACAACAATGGAGATATAAGTAGTCCAACCAAAGCTTCAAACTAACTCTTTTCTCAACTTTGACAGCAAAGTTAAAGTTACTTTAGCCTGAGACAGTTTTGGCATTCTCCCCTTTGAAATAACTTTAAAGCTAAGCTTTCCATATTCTGATGTATTATTTGTGCAGCAAAATATGCCAATACCCAGACAACAATGGCGATATACGTGATACAACCAAAGCTTCTACTAACTCTTTTCACAACTAACTCTTTTCACAACTTTGACAGCAAAGTTAAAGTTACTTAGTTAGTCTGAGACAGTTTTGTCAGCGTCTCCTTTGTGATAACCCTGATCACAAGTCACTCCCTGTTTTTGACAAAATGCCAATCGACCTTTGTGACCACAGGCTTGTCGAACTTTAGTCTTTAGTGACACACGTGGTACCAATGAGTGAGTATCCAAGCCGTACTCTCCAAGCAGAGGTTTGGGTTACTTTTGGCGTGTGTTTGGCGGCTTTTTTATCGGGGTTTCTTGTTGCACTGGAATTTTTTAACCATTGGGTAGCCTAAGGGTAAAAAAAAATTCCAGTGCAAAAAGAAACCTCGATAAAACAAGCCATAAGAAACAAACCTCTGCTTGGAGAGTATCCAAGCCGATGAGCAGTGGCGATTATTTTTTCGATCATCTTCGTTAAGGTTTTGGTGTTTCATTTACATTAAAGCAATGTGGGCGCCGATATTCTCATTATTATGTATGCGTGTATGTATGGGCACCAAGAATAATGGTAACTGGTAATTTTGATGCAAAATTCTGACAAAAAGGTGGATACACAAATTTTGTCGTACATGATAAAACTGCTTAAAAAACCATCGGCAGATTTTATTTCAGATTATGTATTCCGTAAAAGGTACAAAAGTTTCTGTGTCGCTATCCAATCAGTTGCATCACCTACACTCCTACATGCCAATCTGTCGGGTACAATTGAACATGATATGGCCACACCCCCAGACAATTGTGCTACATCACGATGGCTAACTAGAAGTTGGGATAAGGTTTTACCTCGAAGGTTCTGTACAGATGTATAACCATGTATACTGCATGGGTAGGCTGCCTATTGTGCTCTAAAGTTTAAGACCTAAGGTCCGGACTCAAATATTAAATATACATGTACGTTCTACCATGGAGGTTCAAAGATTTAACCTTCTTGGTTCTACACCCCATTCTTACCACAGTCATCCATAAAATTAAGAATAAGCGGCACATCCCCTATCCATTTGATTAGTTTTTGTATGTTTTCCTTTAATGCCCACGATCATGAATTGATAATCATCCTGGCATACCTATTTTCACGAGCGAAGTAAGGAAAGAAGTGCCTTTCCCAAATGCACAAGGTTGTCCGGTGACTTAGCAGGATTCGAACTCAGGACCTCTTGGTTCTTAGGCAAATGCTTTGTCGTTACGCCACACAAACCCACTATTTGCTTACCAGTATTAGCATGGCTGCTTCCAAACTGTTACAGAAAAAAAAATCTTACCTTTTGCCCACGCTTGGGCGCAAAAGACAGCGAAGAACACCAATGTCCACTTCATGTTGGTTCTGCGTCCTTCTGTTGTGAGAAGGCCAAAGTACGGACCTATATGTACCCCGAGGACAACATCAGCTGTTCTCTGATCACGTGATGTTTGTTGACTCGGTTTAAATGCACCAATCAGTGCTATTCATTCAAAGGGGGTAAATATGAATGACGTAAGAGGGTTGTTCCATTAAAACAATGATTAAAGAAATGACTGAATGACAACGTCAACATAGAGCTAATTTATGCTAATATTAGAAATACACAGACCATGTATGCACCCCCCTGTGCTCTAGTTTGTTTAATTGTTTGTGTTACAGTTTATCCATTCATGAGATTATCTCAAACCGCCCTTCAGGTCGTTTTCTATTGAGCTGAGTGAGGCCATGAGCGAAGAGGTGTTAAGAAGGTTTAATTCAAAACCTTTTTGGGGTAAGACAAAATTAAACAAAGATGCAGATCACACCCTCTAAAGTTAACGTCTACGACCAGGCTTCAAAAGCAGCTTGTAAGGGTATACATTTAAATACAAATTGGGAAATAGAAACTAATATTGCCAGAGTTGCCCCACCCCCTGGCGTGGTATGTAATCTGTCTATTTGGCCAAATTCTGAAGCCCGGTAGAGGCTAAACTAAAGTACCAGAGTCCATCAGTTGATAAGAAACGAAATATATTCATATTTTTTTTTGTCGGAGTGAGCCTCGGCAACATAGCTGTATAGCAGTTTTACGGAGTCAGCATGATCTGTTTAACAGCACCTCCCTGTGTCAACCTCTCTTGAGATGAGCTCAAAACGTCCTCTAGGTCACTTTTCATGATAACTAGCTCTTTTCCCTGTTTCTTGGAACTTGGAATGCCCTTCGATGTTGACCTTGGCTTGTTCTCAGGCACACGAAAATGTCTTCCTAATTAAACCCGCGGCGCCTGACTGGTGTATCCAGACTCTGAAAAACAGGATGTGGGCAACAACTCGATCTCCGTGAGCTGTTGACAGCGTTTCTTACCGGGTGTAGAATTACGCTGACTTTGTGATCGGGCGTCCGGTGACACTCAAGTAGCGCCCATTTGCAGACCTTCTAGGTGCGACCAGGGGTATCATTGTCATTACTGTATCTTGAAATGTGTGTGCCCAGGGATGTCTGATAAACAGATCTGTAGATCTTAGACATACTCTGATTTAATAAACTTGAAACTGTATCATTATTATTATAATTATTGGGCTTTCCTAATTTTATGGTTCATTCCTTTAATCTTTCACAAGGAATATGCACAAAAAGCCACATGTAGACTTACATGTCACTTATATAATATTTGGAACAGATTCTGAGTTTATTTATAACTTCTTGTCTCTTGAAAATACATTCAAGTGATTGGAAAATAACTCTTGAATAGATCACCAAGCGTTCTATTCCGTTAAGCTACAGTACTTAAAACATAACGTCACATATACATATTTCGAACTTTGATGACATAAGGTACTTCAAAGGAAAATAACCTTAGAAAAATACGAACCCTTAGCTTGTTGTTTTCAATTTGCAAGAAGTACAAAAATAATGACGTAATCGGAAGGAAGAGGAGAGAGTGGCAGTGCCTAATTTGAATTAACTATTTGTGTAAACGCCATGACGTCCATGTGTATTCGTCACGACGTCCTGTGTACACGTCATCACCTAGAGCTACACGTCAGACATATCCGATTTCTTTGTCTCCTCGCAGCACCGGACGAACTCCGTAAAACACGCGATTCGATCGTCGCCATGGAAACGCCGGACGAACCGCTGAGCCTCGATGGCGCATGCGCGGGGCAGCACGGAACGGCGGTTTCCAGTTCTGCAGCATTTCGACAGGAGGCGCTTCTTGTCTCTGGCTGCAAAGGCAAGAGTAAAGAGTAAAGACGGAGTGAAACTGAAAGGAAATGGTTAATGCTTCAATATAAAAAAAAAAAAAAACTTCCCAGCACCAGTGCTGAATTGCGGTTTCTGTAAATAATAAAAAAAAAACGAAATTTAAAAGCATTAGATATTTACAAATGAGAATTGAGAACAAGTCTAAATCTTTGAAAAAAATATCATTACACGGCTTAAAAGTCTGTAAACTGTAAAAAAAAACAGTTTACCAAGGAGAAAGAAATAATACAGTGACATGGAATGCGTTACGATAAAATAAATGTCAACCTGGCATGTTTAAAAAATCAGTAAAAATTTCTCCACACCTATCTTGCGGTTTATGTCTCCCTTCTTGAATTTCTTCTTGCTCCCTCTGTCGTCAACCTCTGCTTGTAAAACCTTCTTATTCTCAGTTTTGACGGGGACTCTTTCCTCTTCGTCTTCTGTCTCCTCCACCGCCGCATCACTCTCAACTTCTTCGTCTTCCTCCGCTATTGAAATATAGAACAGGTGGTCAACGAAGACAAAGAAGTTTGCGTCACTGTGAATTGAAGGCTGAACAAGGAAAAACTTTCATTCCATTGTCAGCTTCTAGTTGTTTTATGTAACTCAAATATGGTCTTCCATGACTTCTCTTTCCATGACTCGATCGAGATAACTTTCCTTTTCCTTACTTGCCGTAAAGGGGTTCACAGTGTGCACTTTGAAACATGTAACATGATGTTAGTTGTAACTAACCTAGTTCCCTACTGCTGAGAGCAGAGTTGACGGCAACGGCCCTGCTCTTTGTCTGAGGTGCCTGGGTGGAGTTAGCCTCGTCTTCTTCTGTCATCTGCGGATAGAATAGACCGAAATTGCCGTGGTCAGTTTGATAACACTGACGGCTCCTCTTCTGTCATCTGCGGAATACACTACTAAAAGAAACTGGTTTGGGGAAAGCAGGTAGAATACCGTAGCCACTACCAGGTTTCTGGAAGCGTTTGAAAGTAACAGAGGTAAACCGAAGAAAAAGGCCGAATGACAAAGCGCCATACCTGTGGCTCCTCTCTGAACAGCTTGTTGATCCAGACCCGGAACTTCTCTCTGTACGCTTCCAGCTTCTTGCTGTAGTCGTCTCTGTGCACCTTTGGGTCGAACCGGGCGTCCTCCTGGTCAAAACACTCGTACCGCTCGTCTGCGGTCGCCTGGCAACAAGGGTGGTTCGGTTCGATCGTCTGTTGTTCTCTGCTGCAGTAGTCGTCCAACCTGAGAAGAGGGGACAAGGAAATATCTATGAAAACACCGAAAAGGACGTATTACCCCTTGGTTCCGAGTTGAGCACTCTGCCACTGCGCCACGATCCCACTAAATATACATATGTGACCGGCTTAGATGTGGAAGGGCCCTACTCCGGTCCTTTCGAAAAGTCTGGTGGAAGAAGAAGAGCTTTAGCTGTGCGTCCTTTTTTTAAATTATTCCTTTGTCCTTTTTTTAAAGTCTCTCACCTTTTTCGCCTGAGAGCGTCCAGACAGGCCATTCTGCCGGACTCCATGTCCTCACAGCACTCAATCATCTCTTTCTTCAGCGCCACGGACTCCGAGTCAGTCCTGTTCAAAAACGGGGCGCACCGGGCCGCCCCAACCGGCTCCTCGGGCACCATCCAATGCCTGTCCCGCCAACACAGGTGTCTAACCTTCAAATGAAATATGAAGAACTTTCATGAAAGTTCATCTGTGTTGGTAGTTACATGTTTAAAGTTAAAACTCTTGTTCCAACACAGACAGTTCTCTCACCTACAGCTTTCGACCAGTCACTCTGGTCTTCCTCAGTAGACTGACCCAATGAAGCTTGTCACGTGGCTTCTTTGAAGTGTGACACTGGGTCAAAGGTATCTGGTAGACGATGGTTAAATGACAATGTAGGGTGATGAGCCCTGATGTATATGGCTTCCTTCACCCCTCTCAAGAAATAGTCTTGTTCAGTGTCTAAAATCCTTACAGTGTCAAGTGAAACAAAGTGTCCGGGTGACTCTATGTGGATGTGTTGACGTCACACTTCAAGCCACGTGACAAGCTTCACTGGGTCAGTCTACTGAGGAAGACCAGAGTATTACTTACTGTATTTTTGTTTTATGTACGTGCAAATAAAAATAATCAAATAAACAAACCTCTGGTGGGGTGAAGCGGTGAGGCCGTCGGAGCTGTACATTCTTCAGAGCGTTGAAAGCTTCCCACTTGTCGTAGTACTTAACCAGTTCTTTGGTAAAGTCTGCCGCGTGCGCGACTCTTTGGTAGCCGTACCTTATTTGATCAAAGCACGCGTATCTCTCCTCTTCGGTGTAGCGGCAACATGGTTGCCGGATACTGAACACAATGGGATCATTGTCAAGGAAATGCTGTTGGCAGACTTCGTCCATTTTAGCCCTTCGGAGGAACTCGAAGCACATCATACGATCGAGGCCGCCCTGCTGACAGCATTGCTGAAGGTTTGCCTCGTGCAGGATGTGACGTTGCGAGCGACTTCCGGCCTCAGCCGAGCCTCCACCGGAAAGTCTCCTACCGAGGTTCTTGAGGCGAACGTTCCATTCGAGCCCTCGACCGCTTTCCTGTGGTCGACGTCTCCTTTGCTGAAGGTCAGGGCCCCAAAAGTTATTTGGTTCTTTTTCCAATAACGTCGCGTTGCAGACCTTTTCAATAGCCGCGAGGTCCATTCCTCTTGGGAGGACCTCGGCTGGGCACTTCGGGTTCGGAATCGCGAAGGCAGACGGCGTCGTTTGCCGATCGTGACCGAGAACACCCGAATGCAGTCCGAGCGAAGGCTTCATGACGATGTCTGGAAATGAAGCGCCGTGTCTCATTGGTCGGCGTCCAGCCAATGGGTGCCTCTCGAATATTCTCTCGTCCAATGGGTGCCGGTCCATCGGAAAGGGAACCTCGTGTGGGAATTTAGGGTGTGGGTGTTTCGGTGGTGTTGCGTTTGGCTGCGGTGTTTTTGGCTGAAGTGGCATGGTCATTTCGCTGCTGTCAACGTTTCCGCCTTCGGTGATGAAAACCTCTTTGCTTCCGGCTGTTCCTGTTGGTCCTGTTGGACGACAATAAGAAAAAGTCATTAAAGTGAAATTGAAAAAAAAACTTTATGTTAGCTTTAATTTAAAGATAAGCATATAGAGCATGACAGCTTACAAGCCTAAAGGCCTTAGGATGAGTTGTGGAGTACCGTCTGAAAT